ACTTTTAGGGTTATACTATAAATAGAATGTCTTAAAGTGAAAAATCATTTTTTCTATCTTCTTCCTCCTTCTTGGCCGGCAGCCACGGAAGCCAATGGGGCTGCCACCTTCTCTCTCTTCTTTTGGACTTCTTCCCTTTGTTAAAAAGTCGTAGTGCCTTCGTGTTTTATGTTTGTCTCGACTGCGCGCATCTTTCCCCCTTATTAGAATCCATTTTTGGCTAATTTTTGAGTTTGGGTTTGAGGCCAAGTTAGGATTGTGGTATGTCCTCTTTGGATTTTTATGATCATCGTGTTGTCCCCGACATAACCTAGGAGTATCGTCGGATTCGGAGCACTTTTCTTTCGGTGGGGATTTGAGATTTCATCTTAAATGGAGGTAGGGGGTGTTATAGGTTATTATTTTTATTGTCTTGCATGCTATTGATGCTTATACAACTTGTATGAATGTTTTTGTTCATAATCTAGAATTTAATTTAATTATTTTCTATGTTTAAGATTTAATTCTCATGATGATATTTAACTTAGAATTAAATTGTGGCATGCTAATAAATTAGGCTTTGGTATGTTTGTTAACATATATTAAAATTAGAGTATTTGATAAAGTATTGCAACTTTTATTTAATAATTTTCTTTTGTGAAAGTTTAATTCTCATTGTTGTACCTTGCATGGAATTAACTTGTGATATACTTTTAAATTAAGTCTTGGCATGTTCTTTAATATATTTTAATTTGAGAGCATTTGGATGAGTTTGAAAATCTAGAGATTTTAATTAAAAGAATTAATTAAAATCTATTTAATAGTTCCATTGGCTTAATTAAGTTTTTAACTTGATATTTGTCATGACTAGGACTTGTATACTAGCATATATTAATTTGGGACCGTTTGATATTGCTTTAGAATCTAAGGATTTAATTATCATGATTTAATTAAAATTCTACTTTGTTGTTCCATTGGCCTAATTAAGATTTTGAATGGATATATGTAATGACCGTGTTATGTTGTTTAACATGTATTGATTAGAGATCATTTGATTGAGATTTGAAACTTAGAGAAATTAATTAGTTTATTTAATTAATTTCCGTTTCTATTGCGTTAATGATTTAATCATGTGTTTGACATTGGTTGTATGTTTAAAGCATGATTTTAGAATTGTATTAGATTCTTCAGTTTATGTTTTCAATATTGAATGATATTGTTATAGCATGTAAAGAATCACACACTGAAAATTCGACATATGATGTTATTATAGTGTATAACGAATCGCACTCTGAAGATTCGACATTGTCATCCTATAGTAGTTGTGGATTTAGAGTATGTATTGTGCGGTTTCAACCTACTTGTGCATGGAAGGTGGTTTTCGTGCATTATATATATTTCGTATATAAGTTGTTAACTTGTTTATTTTGGAGTTACTTGGGACATTGTTAAGAATTGGTGGCTAGGGTTTGGCTCTAGTATGGGGACAAGAGGCCTCTAAGTCAATTGTACGCGCGTTGGGTAGGCTGCCTAGGAGTTAGTAGCCCAAAAGTAGCCTTGTGTCGGTCTGATCCGATTGATGTCCAAGTATATCTGCCTTTGTTGATTTCGTATTCAATTCCAAGTTGACAACCAATGCTTAATTGTGACTTGTGATTTTGGTTATTGGCGATTTAATGTTGTTAAGTACATTTATGCATTATGATTTCTAATGAATCGTTGCAGGTTTTGATGTTGTTAAGTACATTCAGGCATTATGATTTTAATGAATCATCGCATGTTTTTAATGTTGTTAAGTACATTTATGCTATATGGTTTTAAGAAATTATTGTAAATTGTGATGTTGGTAAGTACAGCTATGCTATATTATTCAAATGTAACTTAGGAATGATTCTATAGATTCATTTGGAACATAGAGGTTAGGTGGCACGACCCACTATAGTTGTTTTCGCATTTTAGATTTCAAGTTGATGACCCTGAGAATCTATATCTTGTTGCCTTGTATAACATGTTCCTATGTTATTGAAATTGCATGAAAGATGTGATCCATGCTAGAAATGATCTAAGGTAGCTTAGGATGCTCCCTGAGTCTCACCTTTGACATAGACGTTAGGTGGAATGAACTACAATAATTAAATTATGCAAATTTATAAAACTTAGGTCCTTGCATGCTCATCTTCTACGAGTAGCTTTATATTACTCACCCCAACGTTATCGGGGATATTTTTCAGGTACAGGAACCAAGGTTGAGATTCTTATCATACTTGGATGATTTGTAAACTTGAAGATTTCAATTCTTGTTAAGGTTGGCTTGAAATGCCACTTGTAGCCTTTTATGTCAAATGTGTATATTTGATTCTAAATTTATAATATGTGTCTAAGCACACTTTTGATTCTCATTTTGTGCATATGATATGAGGCCAAGGGCCAAACCATATTTGAAATTCATGTATATTTATAAATGTCAAATTTTGCCTTTAATGAGAATATATGAAAAACTATGCGTTTTAATATGTCATTTATGCACCGAAGTGTGCATTGGGTATAAAATTCATTATCTAGCATTCATTTAATATGTATGAGGTGTGGCCAAGGGCCAATCACCATTTTGTTTTCATTTTCGAATTTTAGTTTCATACATTGCATTATTGGCTAAAATGGGAAATCTGAGCTTTTAAGGGTTCATTTTCAAATCGAGTGATGTAAAGTGTGCACGAGTACATTCATTGGGACTTATTTAATATGCATGAAGTGTGGCTAAAGGCCAAACGGTCATTTGATTGCATTTAGGTCCGGTTGTTGCATATTTTACCTTTAAAGGATATTTTTTGAACATTTGAGGTTTGATAGGTTATATTTTGCATCAGTGGTATTTTTAAGCTATGGATTATTGTAGCGCATTCTAATAGGTAAGTTACATCTGCGTGTATGATTGTTTTTGGGAAAAAATCTCTTCCTTGGTGAAATGAGCCACGTTTGGTATCATTTTGCAATTTTGTTGAAAAATCTAGTTTAAGGGCACTTTGGGGTTTTTCTTTGGGAAAAAAAATTTCGGTCTTGACTCTGTCACATAGAAAATGTGATTTTAGGTGTAGTTTCTTCATGGTATTTTTCCAGAAAACGTCATTTCAATCTCAGAAATCCCAAATCCATTTTAGTTTCTATTTTCTGCATTTTTTTTTTCCAAAGTAGCAGGTTGCAACATGCTCTCGGCTCAAAAGAGCCGACTTGGTTCTAAAAGAGCCAACTCGGTTCATCTGGGCATCATTTTCTTCATTTTTTTGTGCTTTCAGTCCAACCTAGCCGACTTGGTTCTTAAGGGAGCCGACTGGGTTCATTCACACCTCATTTTGGTTACTTTTGGTGCTCTCGGCCTAAAAGAGCTGACCCAGTTGCTAAATGAGTTGACTAAGTTTGGCTGCAGCGATGACCTGTCTTTAAATAGTCATAACTTGCTTATCCGAGGTCCAAATTAGGTCATTCTTAAGTCTAAATTCAAGAACTTGAAGTTAGCTTTCCAATGGTACTAACCACACCCTGAAAATCCAAGTGTAGTGAGAGTTATGATGGTTTTAGTGAGATAGGGTTATGGTTTGAGTCCAACTTCATTCATTTTTCGTTGTCTTTCCAATGGTGTGCATGGTGGCACCCATTTTAGTTTTAAATGACAATTTTACCCTTGGTTCATTTCTTTTCGGGTTTGGCATTCTTACTTCTTTGCTTGGCTCATTTGATTTCTGTGGCTTCATAGGGAGTCACTTTGGTGTCTTAGGGATGACGTACATCTCTAGAGGCCCTTTTTACTTCTTTCACTTCCGCATTTCGGATCCGTTATCGGGTCATCTTTTGATTCATTATTAATGCATCGGGTTGAAAAACTTGGGCCGTCACATAGGGAATGTTTTGAAACTTGTTCTGATCATATAGAAAGCATGTAGAACCTTAGAGACAGACCGGGCTCCTTTCACACCCATTGCAGCACCTTTTTCTGCTACAGCAGATGTGTCGGTCAGCTGATGAGAGCCATTAGTCGATTGACAAAGCCTCAAGAACAATTCCAGTGAGTTTATAGCTTGGATAGGGCGTTTCGGCCAGCTGATCCTTACCACCAGCCGGTTGATGATGGGGTTTTGGCCAACTAGTATTGTTCATCAGCCTGCTGATCCTCCCTGAAGCTTGGTTTCTTTCCAAATTCTTGGACAGATTTCTTGAGTCAACTTCAGAGGGTCATGTCTCCTTCATTTCTGATCCAAATCAGGCCATTCTTAAGCCTAACTTCAAGAGCTTGAAGTTAGATTTCCAATGGTACCAACCACACACAAAAAATCTAACCATAGTGAGAGTTTTGATAGTTTTAGTGAGATAGGGTTGTGGTATCTCTTAATCGGAGGACGCCGTTTTGTCTTTTTTTCCATATATTTTCCGTTCGGACTCTGAATCAAGCGATTCTTGAGTCTAACTTCATTAATTTTTCATTGTCTTTCCAATGGTATGCACAATAGCACCTATTTCTGGGTGAAATGACCATTTTACCCTTGGTCCAATTCTTGTAGGGTTTTAAGACCTTTGTTTCCTTCTTGCTTCCGTTGAGTCTTGGGACTCCTCAGGAAGCCACTTTTGTGTCTTAAGGATGATATATATCTCTAGAGGCTATGTTTCTTTTTAGCTTCCACATTTTGGATCCGTTTCGGGTCATCACAGGACACACTGGGTTTGTAAAATCCAGGGTCGTTATAATGCATCCCCAAATATATCATCCATTTGTGCTTTCCAATCCAATCTGTCCCTCTTCGACACACCACTTATGCTTGATTCTTTACTCATTTTTATGTCTACATAATAACAAGTATAATACAAAGAAAGAGACAAAAAAATAAAGATTCAATTGAAGATAGATAAAAAAAAAATGCATGCAAGGTACGAGTTTATAACAAGTTATTAGCATCTACATCTCTAAATCAAAACAAGCACTCTAACATAAAATATGTTAAGTTTTTTCAAGCAAATAAACATATGAAATATCACATTTGATTAGCCACATAGTCATTCCACATATGGGAAGCTATTAAATCTTTCAAGTATTCCCCCAAACTATGATCTTTACTTCTCTCAATTGGACCAGCCTCTTCATTTCGAGTTTTATTCAACAGCTCCTGGTGTACTTCATTAATAAGGCTTTCATCAGGGTCCATGCCCATTAAATAGTTGTGTATGATGCAACATGCTAAAATAATATCAACTTGAGTATTAACATCATATGTTTGTTCAGTACTGCTTCCTATGATTGGAAATCGTTTCTTCAACACACCAAAAATTCTCTCAATAACATTGCGTAGTAATGTATGTCGAAGGTTGAATAACTCTTGAGGATTCTCCGGTCGGCGTGAGGACCATTCTTTTAAATGGTAGTGCACACCTCTATAAGGTGTGATAAGTCCAGCCTTCAATGGGTATCGCGCGTCAACAAGATAATATTTCACTATTAAGAACAATAATAATTAATATTGGCTTCATATTAATAATTTTTTAGTTAATATTAACAAAATTTACCATGAGGAAGTTTTAATTTATCTCCATTTCTTTTTAGTGCACTAGCCATAACTCTTGAGTCTGAAGTGGTGCCCTCCCATCCAAGTAAGACATAAGTAAACTTCATGTCAAATGAACAAGCAGCTAACACATTTATTGTTGGATAATTCTTCCTACCACGATATCTTAGTGCATCTTCGTTAGATACTCTCACACGAACGTGTGTTCCATCAATTGCCCTAATGCAATTCTGAGATAAACTATTATATAAAAATTTACATGTAATAGTTGGTAAGAAAAGAAAAATTGAAGTATTAAGGGGTACAAGTAATAATCACGTTTACCTTAAAATATGGATGAAACCTATCGTTATTGAGTATTTCTGGGGAGACGTCCGATCCATTAGGTTGCTTGAGGAACTATCCTTTCAAGGATATTATTGCTTTTAACACACTATGAAAATGACAGCTTATGGTTTCACCAGAGCGACAAAAGAAAAATGACATTGTCTAATTCCTCACATTGTGTGATATAATGTGAAGAAACTTGGCAACTTGCTCTTTAACACTTGCATGTCTTGTGGGTCGAAGACCACCATCTCTTATAATCAGCTCATAGAAATTTTGAAAAGCTTCTGGTCCTATACGAGTAATGTTACGACATTTCACACTTACCCTAAGCTCGTTCATTAATTTATCCCGTGTTATTTGCCTTTCAATTTTTGATTGTGTAATAGGTTTATCTATATAGTTTCTACGATTTCGACGCATAAACCAATACACGGCAATGGTAGTGACTAGAGTTGCAATTTTACGTTGTCTTTGTTCCCACATTAAATGAAATTTTAGTATCTCATTTCGTTTTCTCTCCATCTAAAATTGTAAAATGCAAAATGATATATTTATAACCAAAAAATAAAAAATTGAAAGCAATTAAAATGGATGAATAATGACTAATGACAACAATTATCAAAGACAACAATAATATATGCTAAAGAATTTTCATGTCTAATTATTATTATCCAGTAATTATTTTCATGACTAAATAGCATATATTACTCCTCTAATCTTCTTTGGTCTAAAGCACACCCAATTTATATTGTGTAATAACAGAAAAAACTCTTACTTGACGCTAACAAGGCTTTAGAGAGGAAGGTAGAGAAACAACACATTATGCTTAAATTTGTGCCAATTTAGGCTTTTGAGTTTTGGTTGTAGGATATGTCCATTTTATTTCATTATTTTTACCTCAACATATTTTCATTCAACAACAAAAGATTTATCTATAGTTTGTATGTGTTTATGAACTCTCATATGTGTTTTTGCCTTTTTATTTCTTTCTTGTTTGGTTAGTTTCGAAAGGTAAAAATAAAGCATGATTCATTAAGAAAAATAAAGCAGTTGCTCTATAATCTATTGTAATTTTTTTTTTTTTTTTTCTGGCAAACAAAATAATCTATTGTAATATGAAAACCACATACTGATAATAAGAAGCAACATATATCTTGTTCTTTCCAACTCATGAAAACTATAATGTGACTCGCACATAAGTTACATCTATTTCAGTATTTTATGTTCAATAAGGAACATATATTATTGCATGAGAAACAACAATATAGCATTGTTGTAGCATGAATTACTCACAGCTTTGGTCATTCTTGTAACTCCAACTTAGAACAGTACCATTCCATTAATTAAATCTACTAAGCAATGCCATGTTTTAGATTTCTGAAAGTGCATAAAGCTGGCTGTTTTTCCCTCTGTTCACTGTATAGCTCTGAAAAGTCCAAGTTCAAGTTAAAGTTGAACCACCACCACCTAGTAGATTCAACACCTATGTTATTAAAAATTCTAGACTACTTTAGACTAATTCAACACCTATGTTGACTTTGACAAAACATCCATTGATAAGTTCATTTCACACCATACTTTTTTCATTATAGAGCAAAAAACCCCATTCAGAAGTTCCTTCCTTGTAATAATATATATGTCATATATGCATATTGTTTTCAATCTCTAGGTAAGTGTCTTTGAATAAACTCTAGAATTGAATTTGACTAACATCATCTATATTCAAGTGACATCGCCCATATATATAATATATATAGATACACACTACACATCACGCATTCAATATATATATATATATGTGTGTGTGTGTGTGTTTAAAGAAGTAGCCTCATATACAGAAACCCCCTTTATATATCCCAAAATTATCACCAGTCACTGAAAATTAACAAGAAAAATAAGAAATTTATTACTAGGGTTTACTGAAAATTAATAAGAAAAACAAATCCAAAAATTGATTCAAAAGCATCAATAGATTGCAATAATACTGACCTGGTATGATTAGAGGAAGATTTGGGGTGATGGCCGAAACTGGAGAAGAGAAAGAAGCAGTGTCGCCCTTACCAGAAGCTAGAGAAGAGAAGGAAGTAGCGTCGCCTCAGAAAAAATAAACTCGGTTGTTGCCCTAGTAAACCACGTAAGAATAATTATATAGTTAGGACATAAATGGAATTACTTTTAAGTATGTTGATTTGTAAAGGGTATTTTTGGTAACCCATAATTTATAACTTACTCCACTATCATTTCTCTCCCTATCTTCTCAAATTGGGAGAGAAAGCATATAAGGGATAAGGAGGGATAGCTATCCCTCCCTATCTCTCCCTATCATCTCTTTTCTCTCCACTTAACCTACCCAAACATACTCTCACACTATTTAATATATCATCTCTTTTCTTTTCTCTCCCTATCCCTCCAAATCAACCCTACCAAACACACCCTAAACGATTTTCATCAACGGCAAAGACTTGAAGAAGACACTTAACAACCCGATTCAAGATCAAGTTTAAGCAACCCTTGGATCCGAACCACAAAGGAGATCGAATCAAATGATACACTCTTTTATTATAATGATATTTACAGAGGATTGTTCCTGAATTTTACAAAATTAATAAAATTGATATTTACTCCATATTTTGTTCTTTATTTTACAGATACAAAATTTGTGCGTACAATCATTGACCGTTTGATACTTGATGGACTAATCCATTAAAAATTAATATTGACATTTCTATATAATATAGGGTAAAGTGCAAAAGAAACCCCTTGAACTATGTCCAAATTTGCAAATAATCCACTTGAAGTATATTTTGTGCATAATACTCATGAACTATCACATTTTGTTGCAAAATGTCCCAATGCTTAATGCCCTTTCTTATTAAATTACACTTAAACTATATTTTTTATTGAAATAAATTATGAAAAAAAAAATCATACTAATTTGATGATATTTTCTCCATTAAACTTGCATGAATTTACCTTTAATTTCTTAATTAATTTTTTAAATAAAAATATTAGGGATAATTTCACTGACACCCTCACTAGTTTGGCCAAATATCAGTCTAAAACATCTTTCGAAAATAACTATCACTTAGGTCCATTTTCGCTTTTCCGTTACAACCTCCGTTAAAAACATGGGAAAAGACATGTTTGTCCCTAATTTTTTAATCATATTTATTCCAAAATATTAGATAATGGAAATGACTTCTGTACCCCTACACACACTGTTTCTCTCTCCTCTATCTCTATATGGCTACAAGTCACAGACCCAAATTTCCCCTTCTTCCCCTTCACTCACCGGTGGGCGAAGTACCGGCTGTCCAAGCCGCCAGTAACCAAAATTCGCTTCTTCTTTGATGTTGATTTTGTTGGTACTATTTGATTGCCAGAAGAAGAGACGCTCGCTTCACCTGAAGCTGTGGAATCATTCATGGCGGATGAGTTATTGAAGTTTGGTTATCTTGGGAAAACCAGAGGGTAATATTTTGAGATTGTTGTGGGACAGGTCAAGAACAAAGAGGCTTCAAAAACCAGAGAGATGAGCCAAGTTAGTGAACCTGTTTGTAGAAAGATTGAGGACTTGAATCAATGAAAATGAAGCTATATCTGAAGTGGGTTCGAACCCAATGGTCCCTTTGAATTGATTCTTGGAGAGATTGACTTTGGTGAGAGATGGGCTGGACCAGAACCAACCTGGAACAGAGCCTTTGAGAGAATTGTTGGAGAGGTCGATGGTTTGAAGGTGAGAAATGTTTATGAGGAACCACCATGAGAGAATACCAGTGAGGTTTCTGGAGGAGAGGGCCGGAGTTGAATCTATGGTCTACGGGATTGCTGCAATTTCCGGCGGAGAAGTGGTTGGTGCAGAGAAGAGGTGGTGGAAGGAATTGGGCATAATTTCCTGAGTGGTCTACCATACAATTTCGGTTTTCTGAAAAATGATTTCGTTTCGTGGTTGAAGAAAACAGGTGGTTCCAGAATCTCTCCGGTGAAATTGTTGAATGACAGATCAAGAGTGGAGTTCGCCAGAATTTTGTCTGCGAAATAATGTTTGGACAGAAAATGAAATTAAGAATATGAATGTAGTTGGTGGTATTAAGTATCGAAATATATTCTTTTACAGGTATGCGAGTACCGTTTTAGTAATACATATTGTTAGTATGAAATAGAGTACATGGAATGTTTGGTTTTCCAGTTTCCACCATTACTTCTGACAAAAAATTGGAATAATTTTTATTTTCTTCTGAGAGTAACGAAGTGTGACAAAGAACCAGTATTCGGTACTCTGAGCAATAAAGGAACTGGGAATTTCCTGCAACAACTTCCATTTTTCGTTTCTCTCTATATAAACACATTCAATTTCTTAAAACGTACGATAACCTTTAAAATTTCATTAATTTCCTTAAAAATATATATATGAATGGATGATTTTTCTTATTTAAATTTTTAAATTTTTTCTTATTTTTCTCTTTCTCTTTTTAAATTTCATTAATTTCCTTACAAAAATAAAATTTTCTTATTTAAAATTTCATTAATTTCCTTAAAAAAATATATGAATGGTTGCTTTTTCTTATTTTATTTTATATTTTAGTTTTTAAAATTTTTCTTATTTTTCTCTTTCTCTTTTTAAATTTAATTAATTTTCTTAAAAAAATAAAATTTTCTTACTTAAAATTTCATTAATTTCCTTAAAAAAATATAGAACCGAACACTTGTATGGCGTATAATAGCCCTCAATACCAAACTGTATGACGTTGATCACCTACTTTATTTATTCTTGTATATGGAAAAGGAAGGGTAAACATGTCATTTGAATAGTCAACCTAAAGTCAAATGAGGGTAAACATGTAATTTTAATCATTAAAAAAATAATTTATTGGGTCAAACCAAAATCAAAGGGTAAGAATGTCTTTTTACATGTAAAAAGTGATCTGACACACCTGTCAACTAACTTTTGGGGTGTGAGTGAAAAACAGAACAAACGTTTATAATGTGAGTGATAGTTATTTTCGAAAGATGTTTTAGACTGATATTTGGCCAAACTAGTGGGGGTGTCAGTGAAATTATCCCAAAATATTAAGTAGAAAATTTTAAAATTATTTAAGTGATTTCTTACTTTTTCATGAATTAATTGCATGAAAAAAAGGTATCTTTGTTTAAGTAATTTATTAATTTTTTATGAATATATTGTATAAAAAAGAAGGTAGTTTTTTTTTTTTTTTTTTTTTTTTTTTTTTTTTTTTTTTTTTGTACAAAAGTTTAAGCTAAGCATAATAATTTTTTATTATAAATAGTAAATTTTTACTAATAAGTTAATCATTTTAGAAAATGGTAATTAAAAATCTTTTTTTTTTTTTTATGACAAATTGATACTAATAATAAATTTAAGGTAAATGGTATAACTAACATTTAGATAAGAGAAAAGATAATAAAAATAATTTAATAAGAAATGACAAATTTAATGAGAAATGATAAAATAATAAAAAAAAGACTTTCATGATGTAATTGTCCTTAATTGCAACAAATTAATATTCAGTAGAACAAATTGTAATTCAAGGGAATTATTTGCATAAAGGCAATAGTTCAAGGGAAATTTTTTTTGCACTTTACTCTATAATATGTTAATTAATACACTCTTATAGGTCCATTTTCTGAATAGGAGAGTTTGGATTAGTTAATGAGCTTTTCTTAACCATAAGATTAAATCTTATGTTACAATTAAAAGTGAGTATATATATTGTTCCTTGAAGTAGATACTAAGGTTATAATTAAAAGTAATATATCCACTTTTAATGATAGTCTTAGGACTTAATTCTATGACAATTAATTAATGAGCTTTTCTTTATCTCATTTTAAGAATAGTTTTATTATTATTATTTTTTTTACCATTAAATATTACTAAAGAAAAATAACAAAACTAAACAAGAAAAAAATACTAATAATAATTTGACTACTCTTTTCTTCGCTCCTCCTTCCCATGGCTACTGACCTTCAAGGCAAGCCAATAAAAAAATTCACAATTAGAGATAAAGTAAAGTTAATTAAAAATAAATATGTAATGGAGAAGTGCTATTTTTTAAATTTCCTTCCCTACTTTATAAGTAAAAAAAAAGTTGTAACACCAATGACATGCAAAAATTCTCAATATATAAAACATAAAAAATTAAAAAATTAAATCCTAGTTTACTTTCTCTCTCATCTGAAGATTCCACTCATGACTAATGGCATCACCCTAATGTCCATCAAAAGTTCAAAACCAATGGGCCGTAAGATTTAATTTCTCTTTTTTTAAGAATAAATTTGTAAATTACCAATTATAGCCAAAAGGCTAAGGAACCACATTCCTTTGCACCGACAATAACAACTTCATGGTAATTAAGAATGCTAATTTTATGGTGTAGTGTGATATTTAAGCAAACAACTGTATAAGAGATGGAGACAACTGATGCAGTAGATTTCTGAATTTTTGTTTTTTTTTGTTTTCTTATTTTTGTGTTATTTTTTTATGGCTGAAAGGGTAGTCAAATTGTTTTATTTTTGTTTTAATGAATTGTTTTAGCTTAGTAACTAATTAATTGTAGTAGATTAGATTCTAAAGCTACAATTAAAAGTAAAGTGTATTGTTTTTTACTCACTAAACTAGACAGTTAATGGTTTAAACACTATTATACACACACATTTTACTTACTAATTAAGTTAAAAAATAAAATAATTTCGTTCAATTTTGTAGCCTTTGGAATATCAAATAGTAATTTATAAATTATAAATGAACAAAATGATGATATGTCTCCCAACTTACTTCGTGATTATACAAGACAAACAAATTCGCAATAATTTTCGTATATGATGAAAATGGACCACATAGAGAAGATTCTACTGCACTACCTCTGAATTTTAGAAACAGTAAAATGATGTTTCTTAGTTTCCAAAGTAGTGAAATGACCTAAAACACTCATTTCGAAAACACTTTTTAAATTACTCAATTTTTTGTGAATTAATCTAACATGGTTCTTAGTGAAAACATCACGATAATTAAAGTAGGCCCCATATGAGGAAGAAAGACTGTTGTCTCACAGCAATCGCACTAACTTTAGCGAGAAAATTTCCGTATACGTAGTAAGTGGATAGATATATGGCTCTTTTTTTCTTCTATTGATTTTAGCCTTTGGAAGTGTAAATTGTTGGGCATCTTTAGGTTGTGATTGATTGAGATTGGCACTCGCATATGCATACACACACACATGGTTTGCCGATTTGATGATAAAAAGTGCGTGTGTGTAAGTGGGGTTCTTGTGAACGTGCCCAACTTATTCATTGAGGAATCTTCCACCTACTCAAAGTTCTAACATAGACCTATCAAGTGCGCTTTATGCTCACACCGAGTTTTGACAATGTTTACAAGTCAAAACAAGATTTTTATATAATTTTTTTTTTTTTTTTTTTTATAAAAATAATAATAAATATATTTTGAAAAATACTTCCCTGCTCCTCAATAAGAAGGAACTTCTTATCCTGAGATGGCACAATAATATTTTGACACATATTTAAAAAATTAGAAGTAAATAAATATGGATGAGACCAACTTTAACCCGATATTTATTTCTTACTTTCTTTACCGTGATTCTCTTTGTCTACATCAAATACACAACTGAAACCCTAATACAGCATTGCCAAAAACCAAAAAGGTTTGAACACACCATTGACACGTCTCCTACCGTTGCTTAAAAACCATTGCCGTCAACAATACCACCGTCCAAAAGAGACATGGAGAGAAGGTGGAGAGTGGTGGTGGTGGCGGGAGATGGAGAGGGTTGGTGGTACGTGGTGGCGGAAAGTGAGGAGTACTGATGGCGATTTGAGGAATTATGGTTCGCTACGGAGGTTTGATAGAAAGAGAATTTTTTCAAGGTTTAACCGGTCAAAAACGATTTCCTTTATTTTTTTATTTTAAATATTATACTAGAGAATTTTTTCAGGGTTTAACCGTTCAAAATCGATTTCCTTTATTTTTTTATTTTAAATATTATACTAATATTTAGTACACATGTTGTAACGACTCGGTCATTTGCCTTCTTTCATTTTTCCTGAAATTTTACGAATGAATTTTTTTCGTTTAATTTTCTTTTGTGAGCTCTGTTTCGTGTCGCTTAGTGTCATCTCGAGTGCTCGGAATTGGTTCTTGAGACTTTTTTCCGTGGATTAACAACTTCCTTTGAGGACCGAGTCATTTTCACATTTTTCGTTTTTCGATACTATGCGCTATTTCGTCATTTTCCCTATTCTGTCTTATATCCGTTTGTCAGTTTTTGGCACAACCTCACTTCTCATGCTCGGAGTTGGTTTTTGACTTCACGTGCCTTCCTTGAGTGGTTTCCTCGAAATACGTATCTTTACTTTTGCAAGAAAGTACTCTGGTTACTCTCGGTGCCCAC